TTTTTTGAGACAGAGCCTCTCTCTATCACCCTGGCTGGAGTGCAATGGTGTGATCACCGCCCACTGCAACTTCCATCTCCTGGGCTCAAGCGATACTTGCACCTCAGCGTCCCTAGTAGCTGGGACTATAGGCATGAACCACCACACCTGGCTAGTTTTTGTAATTTTTTGTGGAGATGAGGCTTCACCATGTTGCCCAGACTGTTCTCAACCTCGAACTCTTGGCCTTAAGTGATCCACCCGCCTTGGCCTACCAAAGTGCTATGATTACAGGCCTGAGCCACCACTCCAGGCCTCTTTAGCTTCTTAATAAGCACGTATGTCTCTATTGTGCTTATTAAGAAACTAAAGGGGATAAGGGGGAGAAGGCTTGTGATACATTCTTCAGAGGGAAGGAATTAGCAGTTAGTGATTTCACAGGCAATAAGTACCAACTAAGGTATCTCATTCCAAGTCTCAACTGTCTGGTCTCCATAAGGCCTCATCCGCCCAGCAATTCTGTGCTGGCAATGAAGGGCCCAGACAAGGGAGTTGGCAATGCAGCAGCCATCATGAAAGGCTTGATAGTGTAATGGAAAGCATCACCCCAAGAGTCAGAAAATTCTGGAACCCTAGGCTTGAATCCACTATCAATTAGCTCTGTGACCTTGAGCAGGTCACTCAGCCTCTCTGGTACTTAGAAGGAAAATGAGAGGATTGCACCTGATCAGCATCTCCCAAAGTGTGTTCAGAGGGATGCTCATAAGGTTTGTTGCATGAAAAAGGGATTTGCAGTCCAGTCAATCTGGAAAAATCTGGATTAGACAAAGTTCAGTAGTCTGCTTTCCAACAAAACTTTTGTGAAACTCCAAAATGTTTATGTATATGGTGAAGTTCCAAGAAACCAGGCAACAATATTATCTCCCAATGTGTGTAAGCAGAATGTCTGGCCAAACACACTTTGGGAAATGCTGAACTAGAGTTCCTTTAGCTCAGAAATGCTGTGACCTATTTGTGCACTGATTAACCCTGAGCCTCCAGGGTAAAAGTTCCTAAACTTCAAGACCTGCCTTAAGTCCAGTTTCCCACCAATCAATGCAACTCATGCTTCTCTCTGTTCCCTGAACAACTAAAACTTGGCTGTTGGTATCACAAGTTTTGTATCTGAATGTTCTTAGCCTGCTCACTCATTCGTTTGTTCATTCATCTACTCAACTAATATTTATGAAGGTTAAGAACTTATCATGTCCTGGGTATCAGTGAGAAAGAACTAAGATACAGTTCCCTATGTCTTAGCTACTGTCCTCACCTTAAGGCTGTAGGCAGGCCCCTCTTAGCATCCCCCCTTAGCAGCTAGCTCAGTGCAAGGTGTGCAGTAACAGCTGTGTCCACTGGGGGATGAAGAATACCAACACAGCTTGTCACTTCCTTTGACTTGAGACCACTGAGCAGAATCATCCTTCAGCAACCTGTAATTTAAACACTGGCCCTTATAGGGGTTGATGCAAATTATAAATGACATAGGTGAAGAGGTTAGCATATGACCTGGCATGTAGTAAGTGCTCAATAAATGTGAACTAGTGTCAGGGATTGATAATTACTTGCTTATTAGGGCCAGATTCAATTCTATCTATGGTCATCAGAAGCAGCCCCGTATCTATAACTGAATAGTGAACTGTACAATATGCATAATTGGAGGCAGAAGCCAGCATGGAGTAGAGCAACGAAAGATCACAGGTCTGTTATTTGATAATTGCTGCTTAAGTAATTTCTGTTTTGGATGACTTGGGCAATTTCTTGTCTATTAGAATGCACCTGTATAGGGGCATGGTTGGGAAAACTTGGCAATTCTACCTAAAGAGAGAAAGAATAAAAAATGAAAAAGCAATAGGAAGCATATCTTTTCCCCAAGATCCCTTTTAAAATTTTTTCAGAAAAAAATTTAATTTCTACAATAATAAAATAATTAAGGCTGAGCACAGTGGCTCACATCTGTAATCCCAGCACTTTGGGAAGCCAAGGCAGGAGGATTGCTTGAGCTAATGAGCTCGAGGCCAGCCTGATCAATATAGCCAGACCTCATCTCTATTGAAAATTTTTTAAAAAATTAGCTGGGGATGGTGGTGAGTGCCTGTACTCCCAGCTACTCAGGAGGCTGAGGCAGGGGGATTGCTTGAGCCCAGGAAGTTGAAGCTGCAGTGAGCTATGACAATACTCCCACCTGGGCAATAGAGCTACATCCTTCCACCTGTGCCTCCCAAAGTGCTAGGATTACAGGTGTGAGCTACTGTGCCCAGACGATTTATTGATCCTTGACAGGTGGGTCTCATTCTGGCCTTCTGAAAGGGGAAGAACTTTATGCTCAGAAGATTTAGAAACACAGCAATTGTTGCCTCTCTTGCTTCAAAATCCCTTAGTGGAAGGGAGGAAGGCACAGCTAGGGAATTTGGAGTTGCAGACCTGCTTCTCATAATCCAGCAAAGACAGAGAAGAGAGTCAGCAGCTAGTAGCTCCCTTTGTGATACAATCTATAAACACTGAATAACTGCATAAAAACATGTCTAATAAACTCTTTAGGCTGTAATAATGAATTCAACAAACAATCATTGTATGAGCAGAAAATTCTACATTAACACATTTTTATGTTCCTAAATTAACAAAATGACTAGTGCTGTTGGAACTGTAACAGGTGCTAAAATTTAAGTATGCATATATGCATATGGTCCAATTTCCCCCCAATTTTCCATTCTTTTCTGGCCAGAATGAACAATTATTTTCCCACAAAGATTCAAAAATAGCTAAAGCAACACGCGTGTCTTTTAACCATAGGCCCTAGAAGGAAAAGAATGTTTCCGTTCTAACCTGTAGGGCGGCTCTGAGTGTGGTGGTGCTTTGTTAGCTTGGTTAGCAGGGAGCTGGGGAGGCACAAAGAGATGGTAACTGCCAAACATGGTGGGTTGGCTGCTATTGCTCTAGGTCAGCTGGATACGACCTTTGTGACAACCCACTGCCAGACATACAATGTCAGTAGCAAGGGTCTATGTCTTCAGCCAGCTTTCCATTAGATCTCCCTAACCCAACTGCATTCGACACCCCCACCCCATCGCCCCCACTATCCCGTGTATGGAGACAAGCCCTGGTCTCAGCCCTGGGAACGAGATACAAAGCTGGGTACTGTCCACATGCTGTGTTACTTTTGAAACGCTAATGGAACCTGAGATGGTTGACATATATTCAAGTGTATACATTGGCCTTTCAAGCTTTCTTTTTTAAAGTAGGGGGAGCACCTTTAAATTGCCGGCAGCTGAGCCCTCCACAGGCTGGTTTTCAAAAGCTACAAAAAGCACAGAGGGTAGAGAGATCTAGACAGCAGGTATGGGTCAACACTCACATTTGTATCCAGCAATGTTTATGTGGGTCACCTATACATTGGGTAACTTATGGCACCACAGGGTACAGCAGTTGCAGTCAGTGAGCTGACAGCTGTCTGGACTTCTATAACAAAGCTATTGATTTCCCCGTCCAATCCTAAAGACTATGCATTCCCAAACAGCAAGTAGCTTTTAACATCCCCATCTAGTCAGGGTCTGCAGTGTGTCAAGTGCCAGAAAACAGCTCATTGAAGCAGTTTTTTCCCCAGAGAAGAAAACATAGCTAAATCTAATAAAGAAATGTCTCCCTCTGGGTTGTATATTTACTTATCCACCATGCATGCAGGCAGCCCATCTGAAATGAACTGAATGAGCTTTTAAAATGCATCACATAATGATGACCTTGTTCTCTTGCATTGCTGCTTGGAAAGAAAACATTTTCTTTGTTTTTTGAGATGGACTTTTGTTCTGTCACCCAGGCTGGAGTGCAGTGGTGCGATCTCAGCTCACTGCAACCTCCACCTCCCGGGTTCAAGTGATTCTTTTGCCTCAGCCTCCCAAGTAGCTGGAACTGCAGGTGCCTGCCATCACACTCGGCTAATTTTAAAAAATATTTTTAGTAGAGACAGGGGTTCACCATGTTGGCCAGGCTAGTCTCGAATTCCTGATCTCAAGTGATCCACCCACCTCTGCCTCCCAAAGTGCTGGGATTACAGGTGTGAACCACCACACTCAGCTGTAAAGAAAACATTTCTAACTAAACTTTCTTCCCTTTAACCTCCCAACAGCCACTTTATTCTCTGGCCAGCCCTAACTAGCTCTAAAACCGTACTCAATTATTCGGTCTTACAAAAAAAACCTTGAGAATGGAGAAAAGGCATTTCCTTACCACCACTCTTCATCAAGATGTACTGCACTGCCACCTTCTTTTGTAGGCATCTGCTTAGTTCATATCCAGAAAGATAGGTCAACTGGTTAGGTAGTTGGGTCTGCCTTGGTGAGGAGGCCTTTCACTCATTTATTCATTCATTCATTTATTAAATATTTTGGAGTGCCTTATCTCAACCTCTTCTCTCTCTCTCTCTCTCTCTCTCTCTCTCTCTCTCTCTCTCTCTCTCTCTCACACACACACACACACACAACAGTGATAACACAGAAGACCCAAGCACTGCCATTAAGAATCCATGATCAGGTGTTCAGCATCCCCTGCCCCACATCATGTGTAAAGTCAGGCCCCTAGGAAGCCACAAGGCGGTTCCCCTCTGTTTTTCCAGAGTTTTCTGTACCATACACCGCTAAAGAAAACTCAGCAAAAGAATGGAAGAACAACCCAATTAACTGTTAAATTCAATTCTGTCTTCAAACTCAATGCCTCACATTCTGTCTTATGATTTCTTATTTATTTATTCATTTATTTATTGTGTGTGTGTGTGTGTGCGCGTGTGTGTATAGCTGATCATGTTTAGTGACATTTGCCTCCCTTTCTAATTTTTCCATTCATAATCACCTATCACTCACAGATGGTGCCACAATTTAGGCAATGGATACATGAGTAAGTTTTGCCAAAGATTTTCGTAAATTGAATCCTATTTAACAGAAGCCTGTTGTGGCATCTTTCGTTTCTATCTCCTTTCACTCCTCAACAAATTAATCTCTTGCTTAGGTCTGAATTATTATCCACAATAAAACCTCAGTTGAGTTTGTCAGATCATGGTCTGTTCTGATTGTATTTTTTTCTGATGAAGCAGGAAAAGCCTTGGTAAGTAAAACCTGGTAGCTATTTTCAAGGAAGATTGCAGGACCTCAGACAAATCTTTTGACTATCAGAGTTGGAAGTGACAAAGAAGAAATTAGAAAACTGAAAAGTAAACGTGACTGAGTCTAATGATCTGAGCTTGTTTTCTTATGTCTTGCTTCTTTGTCCTAAGAGCTAAATAAACACAGTAAACAAATCTAGTTCTGATTATCAAAGTTTTATTGGGTTACTTACCCTCATCACCAGCCTCCAGAACATCAAGACTGTCAGAAATTTCACTGGGTGATTCAGCCATGGTGGGATGACTAAAATACAAAGCAGAAAAGCAGAAGATCATCATTTGATATCAGGGTGTAATGCAATCCTATCACCCTACCCCTTATCCTTCAGTTATATTCTAAAAATAGTCTAGAAAACATATACAAATGGTATTGCCATTACAGAGAATTATCCTTCCTTTAAAAAAGACAATGATTTCATTTACATAAAATGTCCAGAATAGGCAAATACATAGACACAGAAAATGTCATGCTTAGGCCTGGGAGAATGGGTTTTATTTGAGGGGGGCACGTAGTAAAGAGTACAAAGTTTCTTTCCTTCCTTCCCTCCTTCCCTCCTTTCTTTCTTTTCTTTCTTTCTCTCTCTCTCTCTCTCTCTTTCTTTCTTTCTTTCTTTCTTTCTTTCTTTCTTTCTTTCTTTCTTTCTTCCTTCCTTTCGAGACAGGGTATTGCTCTGTTAGGCAGGCTGGAGTGCAGTGGTGTGATCACAGCTTACTGCAGCCTTGACCTCCCAGGCTCAGGCGAAACTCCCACCTCAGTCTCCCAAGTAGTTGAAACGACAGGTGCATGGCACCATACACAACTAATTTTTGAACTTTTAATAGAGACGGAGTCTTGCTATGTTGAACTAGAACTCCTGGGCCCAAGCAATCCTCCTACCTTGGCCTCCCAAAGTCCTGGGATTACAGGCATGAGCCACTGTGCCCTGATAGGGTTTCTTTTTGAGACAATGAAAATGTTCTAAAATTGATTGTGGTGATGATTGCACAAATTTGTGACTATATTAAAAATCATGGAATTGTATACCTTAAATAGGTGACTTATATAGTATGTGAATTATATCTCAATAAAGCTGCTACCAAAAAAAAGACAAATGCAAAAATCCTGATGTATTGTTTTGTGCTGGGTCCCATTAGCTTTGAATGCCTATTACTATTCATGAGTATGCCCAGGGAGACAAAATTGTTTTGATAAATATGCAGAGACATAAAGAAAAGACTGAAACATCTGACTGCACAAAAATTTCAGGCCAGGTACAGTGGCTCATGCCTGTAATCCCAGCTCTTTGGGGAGCAAAGACAGGAGGATCACTTGAGCCCAGGAGTTTGAGTTGAGGCTGGGAAACATAGCAAGACCTCATTTCTACAAAAAAAAAAAATTAATAGCTGGAAATGGTGGCGTGTGTCTGTAGTCCCAGCTACTAGGGAGGCTGA